TTTGCATATGCATAAGAGCATATATCACGGCTCTTTGATCTGTCCGCTTGACCGTGGGCCGTCTCGCTCCCTGTGCTGCGTGACACAGAGTGGTGATTTAAAAGTCTGGCTGGCGTTCAGCCCTGGAGGGTTCCTCTCCCTCTTAAATCTGCGACCCAAAGATGCTGATTCCCAACGAGAGGGTGACCGCATTAATTTCCACTGATTTAATCATAGTGCTGCAAAAATGACCTGTGACTGGCAAGAGAGCCTGTTCCTCCTTCTCACCGTCTCGGGTGCATCTGAGGAGCCACTTCAACAACAAATGCCACAATTGTAATATTCTCAGGTCTCCTCTTATATGCAGAGCTTCTTTTTCCATATATCAGTCCTATTCATGGGATTCTTGAGACAGAAAACGCTTTTTCCACCTGTCTTTTTAATTAGTTCAATTCTTTTGTTTGCTTGATGGTTGGTTGGTTTTAGGAATATGATTATACATTGGCTGCTTCAAATTTCTTTCTTTCTTTCTTTCTTTCTTTCTTTCTTTCTTTCTTTCTTTCTTTCTTTCTTTCTTTCTTTCTTTCTTTCTTTCTTTCTTTCTTTCTTTCTTTCTTTCTTTCTTTCTTTCTTTCTTTCTTTCTTTCTTTCTTTCTTTCTTTCTTTCTTTCTTTCTTTCTTTCTTTCCTATAATGACATTATAGATTAGATATCATGACCAAACAATATGTTATATTGTGTTATAAAAATAACTGTTAGTTCATGGTACTTAATATATACTGTCATCATTATTATCTGTGTCCCTGGACCACAAAACCAGTCATAAGGGTATTCATAAGCTGAATAAATAAGCTTTCCATTGATGTATGGTTTGTTATGATAGGACAATATTTGGCTGAGATACAACTATTTGAATATCTGGAATCTGAGGGTGCAAAAATAAAAAAAACCTAAATATTGAGAAACTTGCCTTTAAATCTGTCCAAATGAAGTTCTTAGCAATGCATATTACTAATCAAAAATTAAGTTTTAATATATCTATGGTAGGAAATTTACAAAATATCTTCATGGAACATGATCTTTACTTAATATCCTAATGATTTTTGGCATAAAAGAAAAATCTATAATTTTGACCCATACAATGTACAAATATACCCGTCACATTTATAACTAGATTGTTTAAAAGTTCTTTAAGGAAGTTATTTGTTGACGGCTGACAGTGGTAGGGAATAGTTGCACAGTAACTATATTGTGTTTTTACCATTTTAGCTGAAACGTTGTATTGACCAATCAGCATCCAGAACCAGAGCTGCAGTTTGCATTTTATAAAACGTTTGAGAGTTTTCACCATGACTAGTGACACAGATGTGTGATAGGACAATATTTGGCTGAGATACAACTATTTGAATATCTGGAATCTGAGGGTGCAAAAATAAAAAAAACCTAAATATTGAGAAACTTGCCTTTAAATCTGTCCAAATGAAGTTCTTAGCAATGCATATTACTAATCAAAAATTAAGTTTTAATATATCTATGGTAGGAAATTTACAAAATATCTTCATGGAACATGATCTTTACTTAATATCCTAATGATTTTTGGCATAAAAGAAAAATCTATAATTTTGACCCATACAATGTACAAATATACCCGTCACATTTATAACTAGATTGTTTAAAAGTTCTTTAAGGAAGTTATTTGTTGACGGCTGACAGTGGTAGGGAATAGTTGCACAGTAACTATATTGTGTTTTTACCATTTTAGCTGAAACGTTGTATTGACCAATCAGCATCCAGAACCAGAGCTGCAGTTTGCATTTTATAAAACGTTTGAGAGTTTTCACCATGACTAGTGACACAGATGTGTTTCTCTCACAATGTGCTCCACACCTGCATGGACGGTGTAAATTGACAGTGTTATATTTACAAAGCAACAGCAAATAGAATTAGCCTCTCATTTCCAGCAGTGTAACACGTTTGTATTTAATTTACAGACTACAAAAGGGACAGAAGAAGCACTGAAACACCATCTGGCAGAAGACCATTGCTTGTTGCATGCTGAACTCTCTATACATCTGTTTGTTTTTTTTGACAGTTTTATTCACTTTCTGCGTCTTCATTATTGCATGAACAAGGAAGAGAGTGTTTTAATATGGCAATGGCGAGATCGAACTTTTGATGGTTTAATGTTGCATGTAATTTTAGAGGATGTACTGATTTTTGTTGTTTTATTGTTGTTGAAAACAGATTGGCATTACTGTACATCCGTTTCCTCCTCCATCAGTAAAGATACTTTGTGAGATTATTTGCATAATTAGAGTATGCTCCATTGACATTGAAAACATGATTTGGATGTTAATTTAAATGACCTCAAACACAAAGTTAAAGAGTTTAAAGAGCTGATTACTCAAAATAATCAAACGGCTTCATGGTCGTGAAAACCTAAATTCATCTTTTTCATACAAAATCACAATTTTATTATCACAATGATACGACTCGATTCTTAAAATATCTCAGTGTTGAATTTACTTTCACAAAAATGACTATTATGAGATTATTCACAAAACACTACAACTTTATTTCCAAATTTTAATCATGGAAATTTGTGAATGTACATTTTTGGTCTAAATATTTTATCTAGATGTTTTTTTTCCCCCTTGCGCTTGCTTGTAAGTCATTGTGATGTCCAATTTGTGAGCCTTTTTTAAAAAAGAGATTTCTATTATATTTATTTCCTAACTGGAACAAAAATAATTTTAAATCATTCATCAGAAAATTTGACAATGGTTTTTAAAACAAGTTGAAAAGCCCTAAATTTACCAGTCAAAATGTGAGGAAACCCTGATAAAGAGTCCTAAGGTATACGGGAGTCTGCTTGGAAGAATTTTGCACATTATTGTATTTTTTTTTGCAAAGTCTGCCACATTGAAAAGTGTAAAGAAAGTCTGAAGAAATTCTTAAGTTTTGTGGCAGCACACACTTTTCCCATGCAGGCTGTTGAACAAAAGCATCCTTGTGTAAGGGGGTGTACGCCTCCACTTTTTCTCTTCTCTCTCTCTCTCTCCGATCCCCACTTTCATCCCTCTCTCCTCCAGTCTCCCAGCTGACAACTGCAACCCCTTCATCTTCCATCTCTCCACCTTTCCTTTTTCTCTCTCTCTTCGCCCTCCTTCTCAAACTATCATACTCTCTCTCTCTGTCTCCTGCCTCGGGTCTCCTTTTCCAATCAGCACAGAACACACCTGTTTTTGTTTGGAGTGTCTCTTTTATTTTTCTCACGCTTGACGGACTGCAGGGGCGAGGAGGGCAGGAAAGAATGGGAAAGAGGAGGCAAAGGAGTAGGAGACGTCTCACCGGGGTTGCAGGACAGATTCCTCTTTTATAAAAAAAGAGATTTCTATTATATTTATTTCCTAACTGGAACAAAAATCATTTTAAATCATTCATCAGAAAATTTGACAATGGTTTTTAAAACAAGTTGAAAAGCCCTAAATTTACCAGTCAAAATGTGAGGAAACCCTGATAAAGAGTCCTAAGGTATACGGGAGTCTGCTTGGAAGAATTTTGCACATTATTGTATTTTTTTTGCAAAGTCTGCCACATTGAAAAGTGTAAAGAAAGTCTGAAGAAATTCTTAAGTTTTGTGGCAGCACACACTTTTCCCATGCAGGCTGTTGAACAAAAGCATCCTTGTGTAAGGGGGTGTACGCCTCCACTTTTTCTCTTCTCTCTCTCTCTCTCCGATCCCCACTTTCATCCCTCTCTCCTCCAATCTCCCAGCTGACAACTGCAACCCCTTCATCTTCCATCTCTCCACCTTTCCTTTTCCCTCTCTCTTCGCCCTCCTTCTCAAACTATCATACTCTCTCTCTGTCTCCTGCCTCGAGTCTCCTTTTCCAATCAGCACAGAACACACCTGTTTTTGTTTGGAGTGTCTCTTTTATTTTTCTCAAGCTTGACGGACTGCAGGGGCGAGGAGGGCAGGAAAGAATGGGAAAGAGGAGGCAAAGGAGTAGGAGACGTCTCACCGGGGTTGCAGGACAGATTCCTCTTTTATGAGGAGCACTTGGTATTCGGGACATGGTCCGGCCTTTAGAGCCCTCGTGATTCATAGCAGAGAGTGTCACGGCCCGTGGCGACGGCTGGACACACTCGGCCTGAGTTTTACAGAGCACGTCACTTTCCCTGCTTTAAAAGCATCTTCGGCAGAGAAGATAAAAAGGTCACCTGTGTTTTAGCTGCCTTCTGAAGATCCAATTGTGCCGCTGACTTTTGTCAGCATTTTGATATGAAGGCTTTTGAAAATGGCAGAACTGCACGAATGTGGATGCATGAAGGTTTTTTTTCTTGAGGTGTGTGTGTGTACGCCCAACCTGGTCTCTTTTATTCTCTACCTGTATTGATTTGCCACCAGGAGAGTATTGAAGATGGTCTTTATTTTTAATTAAAGTTCACAAAGCCCATATTGAGACGGCTAGCAGGCTTCTGACCCAAGCCTCACTGCATAAGACCTGCGCTTCCTAATGTCAAGATGGGGGGAAAAAAACCATCGATGAGCTCAGGGTGTTGAAATAACCTCTGATTTACGGCCCCCAGAAACTGCAGAGTTTTATCATATTTTCCTACATGAGCTCAGATATTTCTTCTGTCATGCACTGTGCATGTGAAAGTGCACTTTGTGCCGTCACATGGGGGCACTGTTAGGCTGTGCATCGCTGGAAATCAATCCGTACATCTCAAAATGGTCGCTGCATGCGAACACACACTCTCACACTCTTTTCATCTCCTCTTCTTCACCCTCGTTGCACGGAAAACACATACATGGATTCAGTAGGCTTCTGAATGACACCATTTAGAAAGTGCTATTTTATTATCAAGTGCCATAATGTATGGATTTAGTTCACCTGCACAGTGGTACATAGAGGCGATCGGCGGGACTCTTGGTGAAATTGTGGTGGCACTCTGCCTGATGAGTGTGAATGGTGTATAATTGGTCTTTAATGCTCATTCTTTCTCCATGTCAGGCGTACGGGATGTCCGTCCTGCCGCTGAACCTGATTAAAGGCACACGCAGCATCCTGTATGAGCGGCTGGAGAACACTGAAGACACGGAGGAGGTGGAGCACCAGATAGACAAGCTCAAAGTCAAGGTCTGTGTGTGTGTGTGTGTGTGAACTGAATTCAGATCAGAGCTCTGCTCACTTTATTTAGGATCAACTGCTTGTCTGTTGCTGTCCTTGAGGTCAGTGGTTCTCGACTGGTGGGTCTCGACCCAAAATTGGTCTGAGGGCTGTCAACAGATGCAAATAAAGAATACAATTTGTATACTACTGTTCAAAAATTTGGGGTAGTCTTAATACTTTTATTCAGCAAAGATGCATTAAACTGATAAAAAATGACATTGATAAAGATAATGTTTTTGAGCAGCAAATCAACATATTAGAATGATTTCTGAAGGATCATGTGACTGAAGACTAGAGTGATGGCTGCTTTAAAATATGTTAAAAAAGAAAATAATTATTTTGAATTATAATAGTATTTATTTTACAATGATATGGATTTTACTGTATTTTTATCTAATAATTGCAGTCTGGGTGAGTGTAAGAGTCTTCTTTCAAAAACATCTTGCTGACAACCAAACTTTGGACGGAAGTGTAGTTAAGTAAAATAAAAAAGCTTAAAAGGAAGAAGAAACACTTCCCATATCTTCCTCTATGTTGGTGTCAAAGGTTTTACAGTGTTTTGGGCAAAAAAACATCTGTCGTTTGGTTGAAACTACACAAATTAGGTAGAATCCAACATGGTTAGGTTAGATGACATCCCTTGTCAGTATAAACCATGAACAGAATAGCAAAAACTAAAGGAAAATATGACTTAGACCACACTAAATATTGGTTTACAAACAAACCTGTAGCTGTAGCTGTAGATCATTTAATTGAATCACCAAATGCATAAATGTAAACAAGGACAAGCAATGGTTTGTACCAACCTCAGCTTTTTGTGGTAATAATTGGCTGCCATCAAAATTCAAAAGACATTTTGAATTTGAAACCAAATACAATATAAAAACCAGTATGATGTATTTTTATGCAATAAACAGTTTTGTACCTTTCTTGTCAGTGTGCCGATGGGCGTCCTCTCTCTATGAGAGACCGGAGGAACCTCCAGGATCTTGAAGACAAGTTTCAGGTGCTCCGTCGACAGGGCCGTCACCTTGAGATTGCAGAGAGGAACTGCTGCAATAAAGTGGGCTCAGCTCTCCGTCCCATGAAGGTGTTGAGTTTTACCTCAGATAAAGTTTGTTGAGTTGTACATGTGCCTTTTGCAGTTTTAACTACTCCTGATTGCTCACATTGATGTGGTTCTGGTTGTGACAGTGTTGCGTGTTTGGCTTTGAATCAGAGGTCATGCAAAAAGAATTCAAATTTTTTATGATCTTTTTTAATTACTTTTTGTTAGTGTACTCTCAAAACAAGATAAAAAAAAAATCTCAAAGAGACCATGTATTGAAACAAACTCAAAAATGACTGGTTCTGAATATGTACAACTTTCTGGCAGCTGAAAACATATGAGCAGCCACATTTATTTGAACAAAGTGGCACACAATAGTTTTAATTCTTAGGGTGAGAGAAAGACTAAATTATGACAAAACCTCTTCAAAAAATAAAAAGCTGATGACTGTAATGAGGATTTTTGGCAAATAAACTTGAATAGACTCAGTAGTTCAGTATCAGTTTTGAAAGAATACAATTTCTTTAACGCATACTTTGGATCAAACATTAAATGCTTCAAATCATAAACAGCTGTCTTCCCACACACCGACACAACTGAATATCCAGAGGTGACGGTTCTCTTTGATGGAATAAGAGTGGCATTCGTAAGAGATTTTAACAAGTCAAATGATGCCAGATCCAGTTCAGCTCTCTGTGAACTGCAATCATCACCCTGTTGCACCACATTTTATCAGAAGCCATTCAAATGGGTTGTATTTTCTCAAAAGTCATGAAGTCAAAATTGACCCTATTTTCTTCCACAATAAGTGTTCCTGGTCTTTATCAGAATGTGTTTCTGCATCTGAAATAACTTTTCTTTCTTTATTCTGTCAAGGTGTTTTTTTTTTTTTTTTTAAGGTTAACTGGTAATTTGGTAATTTAATGGCTGTTACCATTCATTTAATGAAAGTTATTGCAATAATAGTAAATAAATTTAGATGCTGTCTGCAAACTCTCATTCAGGTCTGTTTGAATTTTCTTTCACTTGTAAATCCATTACATTATGGAAGTAAAATGGGTTGCAGATGCCATTTCATGTTTACTTAAAAAAAAAAATTCCATTGGTTTTGCAATAAAATCATCAGAGCACTTGCATAAAGTGTGATTTACATGTTTTATGTAAGTTTAGACTTATATATACTTACTATACTGTAACACTTGCTTACCATTAATATTCTTTTCCCTTTTGATGTTTTTTAAAAGCATTTTCATCATCTTGTTCCTAATTAATTGTTCCATTATGTCACTATCCTATCTTGCAAAGTCTATCAAGGGGGAAGTGTGAAGAAAATTAATTTTCCTGGTGACTTTGATGTAAACCGTACATTATGACTTCATTTGAATGCCAACACGTATTCCCAAGATTATCAAGAAAACCTTTGGGTTTTATCACCTTGGCACAGCTTTTCCAAACTGAGTAACCACTTTGCTAGATGTATTATTTCACCTTATTACTGTGCTTTCGTCCAGCTAATGAAGCCATTTTTTTATTGAATATATAATATTTATATTTATTTATTTGGCAGCTCTTTTTCGTTATGTGTGCTTGCTGGGATTGACCTTGAATGTGTTAAAACCAAATTCTAACATGCTCTAGTAGGACTTTCTTTCTCCTGTGGGACATAAAAAGTGATGTTTAAAGAATATCCTGGCTGTTCACGTGAACTGAGGCTATTAAGCATGAAAATAGCAAAATGTGGTTGAGTAAATGATGACAGAATTTCCATTTTCAGAGAACTGTCTCTTTAAATATACATCTAGTGATGAAAAAAAATTGCTGTGATTGTCACAAACGTTCTGCACTCCTCTAGCCTATCTTTAAAATGTTTGCTGTCTTTCATTCACTTGCTGTTATTCTTTGCATCGTTTCTTCTCCCAGCATGCTCTGCACCAGAGGGGTTCCTCATTTCTGTCGTTAGCAGCAGACATGAACATGGCACTCTAATGATAGACTCCAAACTCTATTTATACCTAAACTAGGCTTGAGATTGACTAATTTTCCCCATAAGAGCTTCGAGGGAAATGCATACAGAGAGGAATCTGTCTGCCAAACAGATCTCTCCATAAGTCACTGCACCTTGTTTACGTCGCCATGATGCGCTGCGCTTGTTTTAGCTTAGCATATGTCTTTGATTTACAGTGCAAATTTAACAATTTAGTGCAAAGGTCAGCATCTCCTCTTCATATTCTCCAAGGGCCATTTTCAGGCTCGATTCGCACTCCCTGCTGTGAAGTCTCATGTGTACTTTGTTGTCGCTAACTGCTGTACTGATATTCAACACGTTTCAATGCGCCTTGCTGTGAGAGCCAATGGCGTTACGTAATAGAGTTGCGTGGCTGTAGAAAGTGAGGCCCAGTGGGTGGTTTGTTAACTGTTGCATGGGTGGTCCAATGGGGTGATTTGATGCATGTGAGTCCCTGCTGATCAGTTTAGATAAATTCAGCTGTCAGCACAGACTAATAGATTGCGAGGTACATGAACACATGAGCACACACTTCTATTACCCTTTAATGTGGACCCGGCAGATGTGATTGATTCCATTAAGAGAGCAGGTTAATTTACCTAAATTCTGTATCAGATTGATTGGTTAAGTTTGATTGATTTTAATTATTGTGTTTACCGTTTCATCTGTGGCGGAAATTGGTTCGGAAAATTGAAAGTGGTGTATTGGAGGTGCTTAGGTATTTTAATGAGCCTTCAGAAGATGAAACGCAACACTTACCATGCAAATTGCACATATTTCCTCCCTTTGCGACAAGTAACGTGCACGCTGTATCTATACGTATAGTCGTCACGGTGGTTCGCTTGTAACCGTATAGCTGTATTAGATGTGCACGCGTGTCAAGAGGTTTGCACATTAGAACCCAGCTGGCCCCGGGAATGACAGCAGTGGCAGGTGGTCGCGAGTCCAATTATAAAATGAAATAAACCTGTTTATGAAGCCTGTGCGAGTGTGATACCTATAGAGGCTTTCATTATCATTCAAAGGATATTAAAAAAATCTCTCCCTTAATGCACTTTCAGACAGTGCACTGATAACGCAGCCCTTGGCAGAGCTCAGAGCAAGGACGATTATGGACTGGGCCAATGTGACCAGGGGCGTCTGACTGCCAGGGGCCTCGAAGCAGGCCGTTATGGCCAAACATGGGAAAATAAGCCGTTGCAGATGTAAAATTTATATAGATAACAAACAGAGCTTGAATGTGTGCACAATGTGAAATAAACAAAGTGATGAGAGAAGTTAACTGTTTATGTGCCTTCCTCAAGGCAACTAAGCATCCTTAATGCTATGTTGTATAGTTTATTGGTATTTTGGAGATTGTGTTCTATTTTGTGGTACATTGTGCTCTATTTTACTCTTTTTTTGCACTTAAAGGCCCCTTTACACAGCCAATTTAAGGCTGCTCTGTGCCTGCTCAAAAGTCAGTGTGAAGACGCAATGCTGAATCAAAGACTAAATTATGCCGCCTCAGCCCCTAGTATCAACATATACGTAACGGCTTGTGCATGCGACAGCGGAAATGACAGATTACCGTTTATAAAGTTTTAAATATTAATATTATTCTTACAAAAACACATCAGTTAGCTACAAGAGGCCTTTATTCACCCCCCGGAGCCATGTGAGGCACTTTTTATTATGGATGGATGCACTTTATTGGACTTATTTTGGACTGTTGAATGAAAACACCCACCCACTGAAATTATAATGCTTGTAAGAGCAATGACATTTTTTAGTATAACTGCAATTAGATTCGTCTTAAAGAAGAAAGTCATATACACCTAGGATGCCTTGAGGGTGAGTAAATCATGGAGTAAGTTTAATTTTTGGGTGAACTGTCCCTTTAATCCACTTCTGAGCAGCATTGAACAGTCTATGTGAAGACACCTAAATGCCACTTCAGAAGCACTTCTCTGCAACCTTTAAGTTTAAATTAGGCCTTTTTTAAAGATTTATTTTTGGCATTTTTATGCCTTTAGGACAGGAAGTTAAGTGGATGTGATTGGGAAAAGTCCACGAGCTGAGACTCGAACTCGGGACGCCCGGAGCAAAACGGCGCTACATGTCGGCATGCTGCCTAAGAGGCTATCGACGCCGACAAATTTGGCATAATTTTGCCTCTAAAAATGGCCTCATTTCTTTTTTCTGTTTTTATGGGCATGATGTTTCAGTAGGTGCTTGTGGAAATGTCTTCTCTAAGGGGAACAATAACACACGAAAAACATTTTAAACATGTTGACATGTAGCCTCAGGTACCTTCCTAAAGGGACTTAAAACAGGCACACGTGAGTTTAGGTAGCTGGGTTTATGCTCTATATTGAAGACTGCTGTTGTGTTGTGTAGCTGAAGGCATGAATAATGAATTGCCTGATGCTGTAACTTTTGTTATTATTAATGTACTCCTTTCTGTAAAGTTAAAGCTCTGGCTGTCACGGTTATTACAGCTATAACTGCAAGCGTTTATTATTGGTATTACAGCAACAGCTTGAGACATAAATTCCTAATATATGTTTAGAATAGCTCCAGCTGTGTTTTTAACCACAAAGCGTAATTCTAGCATCACTAATAATTCGCAGTCATTCATTTGAATTAGTTATCGATTATGTCTCGAAGGCGGATTCACGCTCATTTACAAATCTATGTTCTCGGTACAGTTCACAATCTGTCATGTTGTTGAGGGAAATGTGTGTTTAATGCGAATGGCACTTGCTTTTGTGAATATTCGTTAGGAGTCAGAATTGGTATTAGCATTGTTATGTCTAAACATTGCCTGTAATGTAATCATTATATAAAACAATGTTAGCAGCATAAATGTGAAATATGTATTCTGTATTATTGTAGAAGACTGCTCTCAAAATTAGAAACAGGCAGACAGATGGGTAGATAGATGTGTCCATCTTATATGTCTCTCTCGATATAAGTATTTTCTGCTTGTTCTAAATGAGTTTTTTCGTCTTTTTTCTTTTCGCCACCTCTTTTCCTTTGTTTTGTGAAAATCTGGAGTGATTACTGCACACGTCAGGGTTTTGTTTACTCCCTCAAGTCAAGTCAAGCAGACGTGAGCTCCGGGAGGCCAGTCAAAGGCAGTTCAGTCTGGCATATTGGTTTTGTTTTGCTTTGTGGGTTGTGTCTCCGTCTTTGTTCATTTACTCTTTCCTGTGCAGTTCAGTCTGTTCCTTATTTAGAGAGCTTGTGACCACATCGTCCATATTACTCTTGGTGACTGTGTCAGTCTGAGGTGGGTCCCACCATATGGCCATGTGTAAAAAATGACACGACCTCTGGGTTAGACATGATGGACCAATAGGGAGTTTCAGTCCTTTGCACAAAAATGTGGTGCTGAAGTGTGTATTTTTTCATACTAATATATGTGTGTTTGTAAATTAGTGTTGAGGAGTAACTAAGTAGTAGAAATTTAGTGAATCAGTTTGTTCAGACGGGGCATTTCAATGAACTGCTTCAAAAGAATCAATTCACTAGTTGCTTTAAAGGAATAGTTCCCTCTAAAATATTTTTTTGTCATCATTTGCTCACCCTCATTTCGCACCAAACCCACATGATTTTCTTTTTATTCAGAATTGTTGAAGAACATCCAGGCAACTTTTTTCAGTATTATGAGAGTAAATAAGGACTGGGGCTGTCAAGCTTCACAGTGACAAAAAACACAATAAAATTCATCCATATGACTCATGCACCATATTCAAAGTCTTCTAAAGCTATACGATACTTTGTGTGAAGAACTATCCCATATCTTCATATGACTTCAGAAGACTTGGAATATAGTGCATAAGTCATGTAGACTAGTTTTTATGGTACTTTTATGCCTTTTGTGAAGCTTTTCCATTTTTCTGCTCGTTTCCTATTCAGGATAATTGCATAGAAACGAGCAACTAGTGGAAGAAAAAAGTCATATGGGTTTAGAATGGATCAGTAATTTTTTATTTACTTTTTTTTTTTTTTGAAGAACTAAATGTATTTTATTTGCATAATGAATGTGTAGTTATGGATGTCTGTTTGTCATTGTTATTTTCAATAAATTTTTCAATCAATTAAAATATTGCTATTTTAAATAAATAATAGGAAAAATGTTAGTTTTATAATAAAACATTACATTTTTTTTTAATCTTGGCATATCTCTATGGTATTTTCTTTTTTGGAAGAAATGTATACTTTTATTCAGCAAGGACACATTACATTAATCAGAAGTAACATTAAAGACTTTTACATTGTTACAAAATATTTCCATCTCAAATAACTGTTTTTCTTTTGTTCCTTCTATTCATTAAAATAAATCCTGAAAAACTAAGCAGCACATTTTGTTTTTTAATCTGTCATGTATTTTTGTGTGTTTTCTGTGGTTGTGTCTTGTGATTTTGTGATATTTCAATAAGGATATTTTCTAAAATAAAGTTAGTAAACTTTTAAAGTAATTTGTCCAACACGTTTATAACTTTGTCTCTTTTTGGTCTTTTCAGATCTTGCTCGGGGTCTTCTTCATCCTGGTGGCCCTTTTGTTCTTCGTGACCTTGTTTATTTCTAAGTAAGTTCCATTAACCGGTATGAAATGTCACTCTGATGACAGACTCTACCCCACAGTTTTTCTTACATTCACACATTACCAACAAATGACTGAAAAGGACCAGGAAGGATGACGTCCCCTCAGAGCACAGTGCATTTGAGGGACACTTTGATTCAGTGCTGGAGTTACCATAAATCTGTTGTTCTTGTACACACACATTCATCAACACCTGCAGCGCTCTAAATTACCTCATACTTACAATAATGTAGCATCATTCTATAGCACACCATGGAGAACTGTAGTTAATGATGTTTTTAATTCAGTCTCTTATGTGATGATGCTGTTAAATGTGTTTGTCTTGCAGTCTGGATAAAGCTTTACATTCAGCTGGTATCAGCACTGGATTTATCATCTTTGGGACCAACCTAACCAACCCTCTTAATGAGCTACTGCTGGCGCTGCAACCGGTGAGCAGCCTTCTCTTTTTCTTTCGTCACGTTACATTTGTGTCCTCGACATGAGTGCTAGTGACAGTTGTGTGCAACCAGAGCTGTGTAATGACTCGGGAGGAGAAAGTACCAGAAATGGAAAGCATGGTTCACTTTGATTTTACTACGAAACTTATCAGCAGAACAGCACTTGCTTGTGCCTGTTGCAAGAGATGTGAAGAATGCGATCTGCTCTCCGTAGGCAATTTCTGCCAGGACAAGTAGCAGCATTCTGTAATTGGCAAGAGCACACTGTCAATCAAAAGTTTGGACACACCTACTCATTCCTTATTATTGCTATTTCCTTCATATTTGAATGTTTCTTGATATTTGAATAAAAAAAATGTCAAATAGAAAAAAATTAAAGCATTATAATTATGTAGTGGCCAATAAATTTTAAATAAACTGATGAAGGGCATCATGTGATGCTTTTAAAGCAGTATTGAAGAGTTTCATGTGCGCTTGTTGGCTGCTGTTCTTCTTCAACTTTGTAATATGTAGTAGTAGTAGTAGTAATAATAATAATAATATATAAAGTTTTCCAACAAAAATTTACAACAAAAAAAGGATTTTAAATTTTATTTTCTTAAGAAATTCATGCATCTTTCAAAAGTTTGGAGTTAGTAATATTTTTCATGTTTTTGATAGGTTGTTATTATTATAATAATTAAAATATTATTACAATTTAAAATGATTTTTTTTTCTATTTTAATATTTTTAAAACTTAATTTATTCCTTTGATGCAAAGCTGAATTTTCAGCAGCCATTACTCCAGGTTTCAGTGTCACATGATCCTTCAGAAATCATTTTAATGTTCTGATTTGATGCTCAAGACATTTGACATTGACATTTTGTCAATGTTTAAAATCAATATTTTTGCGGAAACTGGGATGCATTCTTTGACAAATACAAAGTTCAAAGTAGGGCTAAGCGATATAGCTATAAAATTAATCAGCGATATAATGTTTCATATCGTTCGGTATCGATGATTATTGACATTTTTTATAACCTTTTTTAAAACAAAGAGCAATAGAAAAAAATGTTTAAAATTAACTACTATATTTTTAAATTAACCCAATTTATTGAGACAAACAACAAATATTTTTTGATTTAACAATCAAACACAAAATAAAAATTAAACATATCTAATTTCTAATGTTTTATATGCAGATTAAATAGGTCTTGAGGAAACTTTTGGCTTGTCTCCCGAGGCCACAGGAGGGCGCAATGAACAAAATAATGCAGCACATTTAAATTGTCAACGCAAGGAAGTAACTCTATAAAAAAACGTGCATTACGTCTAAATTAACTCATAAAAATCTAATATAATTTCGTAAATTGCATAAACAATTATTAACAAAACAGCATCATGTATCTATGCATTGCTTAATCCAAAGAGCCGAAGCACCATTCACACAGATTGCATTTAAAACATATGAGATGCAGTGAAAAGGAATAAACCTTCACAAATTCGTAACGTGTTTTCTAAAAGTTTAAACTGTGCATGGCTTTCTATTAGAGCTGGACAATAATTCAATATCAATATGTATCGCGATATAATTTTTTTCAGTAACAGTGATATGATTTTTAAACACATTTCCGATATTTCGATATGCATTACCAGTGTTTCCCATACATTGATTTATTTGTGCCGTTTGACTTCGTTGAATAAACATGAGCACTGCACGTTTCAAAATCATAACAGGGCACGGGTGTTTTATATGAATGTATCTCTGAAGGGAGCCGACTGTCTTCAGAAAAGTTTTCATTTGATCTGATAAAGTAGCATTCATGAGCGGAGCTGCTTTGATTACAGCCATTACTGGAGAAACCGCTAGTTTTATCACTCTAAAAGCGCCTCCTGCTGGCAGAGAAGGAGTTTTCATTTTAAATAAGCCCGTCTCCATCAACATTTCCAGTTTTTGTTGTTGTTCAATTTTTTTGTTTTCTGCAGCGACTCGGAACACTTTTCATACCTTTTTTTTTTTGAAGCACATTTGTTTCAATCTATAAGAATAATCAGCCTACACTACCAGTCAAAAGTTTTTGAACAGTAAGATTTTTAATGTTTTTTTTTTCTTTTTTATTTTTAAGAATTCTCTTCTGCTCACCAAGGCTGCATTTATTTGATCCAAAGTACAGCAAAAACAGTAAAATGTTGAAATATTTTTACTATTTAAAATTGCTTTCTATTTGAATAGATTTTAAAATGTAATTTATTCCTGTGATCATACATAGGTAAATTTTCAGCATCATTACTCCAGTCTTCAGTGTCACATGATCCTTCAGAAATCATTCTAATGTGCTGATTTGCTGTTTATCAATATTCAAAACAGTTGAGTACATTTTTTTTCAGGATTCTTTGATGAATAGAAAGATCCAAAGATCAGCATTTATCTGAAATAAAAAGCTTTTGTAACATTATACACTATTCCATTCAGTATAATTTTTATTATTTTTTGGGGAAAGAAATTATAGAAATTAATACTTTTATTTAGCAAGGATGCTTAAAATTGATCCAAAGTGATGATAAAGACATTTATATTGTTACAAAAGATTTATATTTCAGATAAATAGTGTTCATAGCGATATCGGAATTATATCGTATCGACTGAAATTAAGAAATATATCATGATATCAATTTTGGCCATATCGTCTAGCTCTAAGGATATGTAAATATTACTAAAATAGCACTGCTTTATTAAACTGCTGAATAGAAGCTAAAAATGCTGTTGAATACCTGTGACTGAGTAAGTGTGACTCTGAATTGTTATGATAACAATTTTGGCCATATAGTCCAGCCCTACTTTCTATACATCTCTTGTGAGACGCGAGTGCAGCAGTCATATTTGTCCGACTAAAAAAATCAGCTGAATATGCGTTCTGTGTTAATGGCTTGGTTTTAACCTAATCAAGATCCTCTCCACATTGAGCTTCAACATTTCTCTAATATTTTGAATGAATAACGCAGCAGCAGCGCGTCTCGTGGGCTAGACTAACAAAACATTATAATGCAGCAACGTCACTTATATCATCACCGCATCTCGCGTGCCACTGATGACGCTCCCTGATGCACACCTAACATTCAAATGTTTATTCAACTAATATTCATTCTTTAATGTTCATTCTTTATTTACAATCTCCTCATCACAGGCAGGCACTCAATTCAGCATGTGTTCGTGTTTGTGTGTGCTGTGTGCGTCACTCATAGCACGTGCCTATATAGAAACATTTTTCTATCGTTATCGAAGAAGGTGTACGTCGATAAATATTGATACCGTTTTATCGCCCAGGCCTAGTTCAAAGAACAACATTTATTTTAAATATAAATCTTTTGTAATTTGTTAATTTGTTACAAATGGCTTTACTGTCAAAATTGATTGATTTAACACATCCCTGCTGAAAAAAAGTATTAGTTTCTTTATAAAAAAAAAAAACTTGGTAATGGTAGTGCATGTCAGCACAATTAGTTTTTTGGCCGATCAAAAGGTTTCATGAAAAACATAAATTTACTCAATACAAACATTTTTTGGCAGGTAGTGTTCATCATCAATAGCAGTTTACTTCCTCTAATTAGGTTGTATTGCTTGAGTGTAAAACATTCTCAAAGAATAAATTAGTAGTGGGTAGATTTGAATGTAGTATTGATTTGTATGGACATTGAAGCTCAACATAATTTTTCAACATAATTTTTTTTTCACTCACTTATTTTTTGTGTTGTGAGACAGTTTCAAATTGTGACCATACTCCCAAGTTTTTGTGCTACCCCAAAGAAATTAGCAGCATTTAGATATGCATTCCACTGGGTCTGAATAAACATTCACCTCAATCAGATTTTAAACTCATTTCAAGGCTGTGTGTCTTAGATTCATAATGCTGGACAGTTATAGTTTCAAGTTCATTTGTGTTTGCATTTATGTATCATAGCTGCTCGAAACACAAACCAGGAAAGGTGGTGACGCTGAACCACAATATGCAAGTACGACAATGTCCAAATCTTTGAAATGAAATAAAAGACACTGAACAGTTTGTCACCCTGTCCGTAGTCTGGCTGCTTGCTGCATAAAAAGGTGTGATGACCTCTGAATTAAGCGCTATTTATGAATCAGAAATAAGTGCGCTTTTCATCATTTAGTGCTTTTGGAAGAGATTTCAAATCCTTCAATCTTCTTCAAGTAGCACAATGATCAGTTTCCATGTGCTTGAATAAAATATGATCACTTGTTTCACTCGCTACTTGGAGAAGATGGCTTGATTTAAACCAAATTGTTCAGGAAACCAGACCATTGATTTCTGCAATTAGGCCATGTGAAAAGGGAAAAAGAAAAATAATTTGCAAAAGGATAAAGCATTCAGGCCGGGGAGTTATTGCTCATGCTTCTAGAAACATTTCTAATTTGTACTTCATGATGTCACTGACCATATTCCCTCTACTATATGAGGGCAACAGGTAAGGTCAGTGTGTGTTTAGCTCATTGCAAAAACAGCATTTCCGCTCCAGTGGAGTTATGGAGGACAAGCTGCCAACGGAAGAGGCATTGCCGTTTCCACGAGCCAACAGCTCTTCCAGGAACAGGAGGATCATTTTTAGCTTGACTTTCAAACAGTGCTGCCATATACTTGCTGTGGCTCTTTTGAGATGAAATGCATTGAAAATAGTCAGGATTGCTGAAAGATCACCTCAGAGTTGTGGAGCGATACATCTCTAGCACAGGAGTGACAGTATTTTAGGCCACTGCTGAGAGTGTGAGTGTATATATATATATATATCCTTTGTGCCTCCAGCATTGTGTGCTTTGTGAAACATGCATCTCTTCCTCTGAAAACCACTCTGGTCCACAAAGAAAAAAGCAGTAAGGGTGGACAACACTGTCATGACCTTCCAGCCATCTTCATTGTCAGGGTAATGGTTCTTAGTTGACAATCAGGCCTGAAAAGTGTGTGTTGTGTGTGGATGAATAGAGACTGCATTGTAGACCTGGTGAATGGTTGAACTAGATCAAGGACTTCTGAGTTTTTTGGAGTTGTCGTTCAAAACTGCTTGGATTTCTTGTCTTTCTTCAGGTTTTCCCGCTGGACTATGTTCTCATCACAATCATCACCATGTACTTTGTCTTCACCTCCATGGCTGGGATCCGTAACATGGGGATTTGGTTCTTCTGGATAAGGGTGAGACACTACAGTGTTTTTTTCCTATTTTCATTCACCTGCTTCATTAAACATTTTTATTTTGGCGCGAGTGTTGTTGTACTGAATTTTAATGATTAACTTTGGCCATTTAGTTTGTATAGGCAAAATGTAAGTACACTGAGGCTGCAAAAACTTCCTCTTTCTTTTAAAAACTTTCTTACTTTTTTAAAATACTATTTTAGAAGTTATATGCTGATTTATGTGTTTATGTGTAAATTAAATTCATAATATTTTATATAATACATATTTAACATTAATTAAAAATAATAAGGGATGTACCGATGTATCGGCCGCCGATATTTATCGGCCGATTTTTGGGCTAGACTATTTTTCCAAAATTTTCAACCATCGGCATATCGGCTATATAAGGAAAAAGGCCGATATAACAAACCGATGGTTTATTAATTAACTGCGTGAAGGCACTGAGCTGTATAATGTCTGTTGCATAATCCTAGCGCTGCTGTCTGCACTTTAATGCTGACAAATAATTATTTTGCAAATAACAAAAGACAAAGATCGCACACTATTCTTGACTAAATTACTTTTGTAACTTTCATAAGTGTAGCGGACCTCATCTGAATGATGACCAAAACTTTACTGATGTTTTATTAAGTTTATTGCGTCCTTTTTCACTCCAAAAAAATCACCATAAGAGCTAAACAAAACACAGCATGAGAAGTGCACATTAAACTCTCTCTCTCAGTTGCATTATCATCAACATACAGCGAATTACACAAAACACTTATTATAACTAACAGTAAAAAATATATACAGATCTCATGCCTTTTCGGGGGGTGCTTAATAAACTGACAAACTTTAAATCCGAAGAACTGCGTGCTTTCATTACCCATATAGCTGCTCCGTAGACTAGAAAACCCATCAAAATAAGAGTCCTGCATTAGTAAAGGATATCTCATACATATTTAAACGTACAAAAAATATTAAAATGTACACAAAAACAAATTAGAAGATTAATCATAATAAAGGCTGTTACAATAAAGAAGGATTAATATGTATTTAATTCATACAGTGAAGTGTCATTTTACATTTGTTAACTTTATTTCTGTTCCTGAAAACTGTTAAACCTACCTAAAAAGCACTGTTTATTTAATATGTATCTTTGTTCTGTTGTATTTATGTAGGCCTGCTGAATGTTAAATGGATCCAATCCATGTTCATTAGAAATTATTTGATGATGCAGCAATAAAACTGCTAGTATAATTGAATGCAGGCGTTTTTTAACTTTGCTGATTTAAAACATGATCAAAATACTATCTATTTTGTTGCCAAAATATCAAATAAGAGAGGAAGTGACAAATATCGGTATCGGAATCGGCAAAGAAGTGTTTGTTAAAATCGGTATCGGTATTGGCCCAAAAAAATCCTATCGGTGCATCCCTAAAAATAATACTTTGTTTTTCATTACAGAAAAAATATTAGTAATTCCCCTTTTTTCTATAATTTATCATTTCTATATTTATAATTTCATACAATATACCAACAATAAAAATGCAGTATGTTAAACCTTATACAGTACTTGCCAAAAGTATGGAAAGCTCATCAAGGCTTATTATTATTCATATTTAATATTTATGTGCTCAAAATACAGCGAAAACAGTAATATTGTGGGATAGTTTTACAATTCAGTAATATTGTGGGATAGTTTTACCATTTAAAATAGCTCTTTTCTATTTTAATATATTTAAAAAATGTAATTTATTCCTGTGATTAAATGACATTTTCCTTGATTACATGATCCTTCAGAAATCATTCAAATATGATGATTGTTGCACCGTATATAAAAACTGAAAAAAATATTGATATACTGTGCAAAACAATAAATATTTAATTTATTAATAACCCCAAAATCTTAATATTTTATAATACTTGGTTTTTCAATACGAATACAAATCCATCATGAACTATTAGGCAAGAATTGTGTAGCAGACCTTAGTAATGCACTAAAATTCCTAGCTTAGAAATTCTGATTATTCATTTTAACAATTATCCTTTGTGCCATAACTATGTCTTTTACTAGGAAAAAAGTTTTCATTTCTGTTTTGACCCTCTATGTTTTTAAAGTATCCATTATTGCAACTCTGCTGTATCTATCCTTGTTTTTGTTGCTCTGAATGCAACATTATTTGCAAAGTGCATTTCTGCAGTTTAGAGTGCTGTAGACTCGCAATACTTGTGCATATGAGTAATATTAGGATGTATTTTGTTTCTTTTTGTGCAGCTGTATAAGATCAGGCCTCAGAGAACCCGACCGCAGGCCCTCCTCTTCCTCTGCATGATCCTCCTCCTCATCGTCCTCCACACCAGCTACATGATCTACAGTCTGGCCCCGCAATACGTCATGTACGGCAGCCAGAAATACCTGTTGCAGGTGAGATGTGGGTTGTTTTGTGTAACAGTCAATCCCCTGTGCTGCACGGCATCAGGATTACAGGATTACAGCTGTCGTATTCTGAGCAAACAGGGCCCACGCCGGTGACATAAGTATGTAATGATCAACCCTTTACAAAGCAAGTGTTTGAAAGCCTTTCAAAACATTCTCTCCCGACTCTCTTCAAAAGCCATTAAAGGCCTTCCTGCATCTGTTATTTATTTATTTTTGCTTCTTCAAAGGTCTGTACATTCATATGAGGTTAAAATCTACCCAAAATCTTTGACCTGATCATGTTAAGTGTGAAAACTTGCCCGCGTGTTCTTTACTGTGAATCTATACATCTTGTCATATGTAGCCTAGCAACTACTGATCAACTTTTGGCACAAAATCTGGTCAGGTTATTCTTGCCAAGAACCAACCACTTAGACAGGAAGAGACCTTCAGACCTAGATGTGATTCCTTTGAATACACTTTCTTTGTTTTTTAAGTGCTAAATTATACCACGGTAATAGATTATCGTGGGAAAAAACTCATCAGGAAGTTAGAGAAACCCAGCCCATCTAAGTTGACATGGCAATTTCAGTCAGCGTTTGCCATTTTTATGCGCACAATGCATCAGGTGGTCACTGTACAGACTATGAACGATCCATGGGAGGCAGTGGCTGAAACTGACAAACTCTTCATCAATCAAATCGGATTTCTCTTCCCTTCCTGGAAAGCTAGCAGTCATTCTGCATCTATCCAGTGGTGCATGTTATCCCGTTTGATTACTTCCAAAAGTTATGCTGCCTTTGTGTAAATACGAGCTCAAATGAAGAATAATTTGCTTTGAGGCTGACAAGCTGTCAGAAGGCTGCTGAGGACAGAGAAGGAAGAACAGCTTGCGGCAAGATCGAACCTGTTCTACTCAGTAAACATCACAGCATGTGTTGAAATCTGACCAATTACATCCGTCCTTTGCCCCTCTGCAGCATCAGATGTAAATATTGAAATAAGCATAAACGAAATGCGTGTCTTGCAGGGTTGTTTGCCATGCAGAATTGAATTGAGGATGCTTTTTAAATTCCAATTAAATTACTGAATTGGAATTGATGTAGGCAACAGGATACAGAATTGGAATTTATATTGGAATGGTAAGAAGAAGAATTTACTTTAACACAATTCCAAGAAATTCATATAACTGTCATTTTCAGTAGCTAAAAGTAGTTTGCATTGGATTTGGGTTTGTAATTAAAAAATATAATTTATTAAGTATGAAATCTTAAATATTATTAAGTATTATTTAAAATATTTATTTATTTATTACATATATGCTTTATAAACAATTATTTTATTATTTAGATTATTTATATATTTTGTTTCATATTTAGTTTTATTTTGGGAGAAACAGTGAGAAAAGACATCTACAGAAAGTCCATTTTACACTCATAAGAGTCCTGGAAAAAATATCAGTCACTGGTGAAACGTCTGCAGTAATATAATAATATATGCATATAAGTGCTGTCAAACAATTAATCGCGATTAATCACATCCAAAATAAAAGTTTTTGTTTGCATAATATATGTGTGTACTGTGTAGAGGATGAGACCCCGATTAGGACGACAAACATGCAGATGAGCTTCCCCGAACTGGTTTCTGACAGTTTGTGCAGAAATTCTTTGATTGTTGCAGCAGCTGTCCGGGTGGCTGGTCTCAGACGATCTTGGAGGTGAAGATGCTGGATGTGGAGGTCCTGGGCTGGTGTGGTTACACGTGGTCTGCGGTTGTGAGGCTGGTTGGATGTACTGCCAAATTATCTGAAACGCCTTTGGAGACGGCTTATGG